CAACGATCCTCGCTCAATGAGCTCTCACATACACAACCAGAACGCTATTTCTCTGGCCCACGCCTATCATTGTGTCTGCTGTAGAACTGGATCTCTTGTTATTCCAGCTCTACTCATTCTTTCCCGAATCATGACTTATATTATAAATTGTAGATCAGATTTCTTGTGCTCCGCTCCTATTTATGATGCATCTATTTGTATAATCACCAAATGAATTACTTTGTGCATATATCCACTGTTACATATTTGACAAAGATGACATACACCTATCTTGCTGGTCAAGATAGATGTTTTGGTTTCTAACAGCAAATGTGTATGCATCATTAAGTACCAACACAAGGTAGGGGTGAATAAACAGACAAATAACTAAGACGTCCTGTCTCAAAGCAAACTAATGACGTGGTGGTTCTTTATCCACAGCAGAAACTTATGTAATGGTATCTATCCTTGTGCTTCGTCGGGCATTTCCATGCTCAGGACCTGAAGAGTAGAGAACCAAAGGTAATGAAACGTACAAATATGATATTAAGTGAACTTTTGACATGATACAAACGTATCATACAGGACCCGAGGAGAGGCATGTATATGTTGTTAAAGGATTCAAGGATACAGTTGATCTTTGAGGATGTTTAAGATTTCAATCTCCAGGAGTGTTCCATGGTTTGTTTACCTTGAGAATGTGCCCCATTGTTCTGGTATGGCGATGCCCTGATGGATTCATAGGTCACAGGGGGTGTCTTTGTCACGCCTTCGTAGGTGCTTGTATCTGCTGCAGCTGCCGCTGAAGATAGAATTCATTATATATTTTAACAGCAAATACACATAAAAGCTTTTTTCGTTTCACTAGCACAATAGTGAGCTGACAGTAAATCCATGTATAAATTTGAGATTCATCAATGCTGAGCATAAAACATCTACCTTTTGTATTCTCATAAATCTTCAACTGTGGGTACTGTTGTTTTTCTGATTCCTCCTCCACATTTGAATACTGCGCTGGAGCAGCGATCTGATCTGAAACACATCGTACTGGTTTAGTGCGAACAGATCCAGAGATGGTTGTAATATCAACTAGAGGGAAACACCCAGCAGCCAGTACATACCTAGAGATGGTTGTAATATCAACTAGAGGGAAACATCCAGCAGCCAGTACATACCTAGAGATGAATACCCTCTGTTGTCCATTTCCACAGGTTCAGGATAGCTAGAGCTATAAAACAGGAACAGGTCAGGTTTGAAATAAAACAATTAGGTGATAAACCTCATGATATAAAAAGTAATATTTTTTTGTTAACCAATTGTAAGTTATTACCTAATGTCGCAGTTTCTTTTCATTGAACTATATTGACATATGGATTACCTTTTTCGTGCAGCTCCTGGAAAACACGAATAGTAAAAATGTCATGGAGTATGAAACACACTTCACAAATATCAACATGTCACATCATAATCGAAATGGAGAGAGACAAATGCCTTTTCTGTAAATTACTGTGGATGGCAACTATAAAAATACATACGTTGTACTTATGCTATGTACCTTTTAGAATGTTTGCAACTCTGTACCCCTTCCGGTACAGCACCATTAGAACAGTCCCTCCAATGACCAGGGTAAGAAGAATGCCTCCTACTGTCGCTCCTGCTGTTACCCCAGTACACGTACAAGACACTCCAAGCCTCTGCTGGTCTGCTTGATCTATAATGTATTTAAAAGATCAAACTGACGGCTGCTGCAGTACAATTTTGTGCGGCCCTGCACAAGTCATTAGCGTGTGTGCCAAACTAACACACAACGCTTTCTCAGCGTTTCCGGTTGTACATTGGTAACGTCATAACACAACGTTGTCGCAACATTAATATGACGACATCTTATAACGCTATTTCACACCGTTACAGCAACATTACATACATACGTTGACAAAACGTCTTGTATCGACCGTTACAGCCCGTTATGATTCATCGTTTCTGAAACGGTGATGCGATGTAAACTGTCTTTTTCCCGAAAATCGCAAGAACAAGAGCGTACATCGAATTATTCGTACTTTCTGCAGAAAACAAGACGGTAGTGCATTATTTTCTATTCTATTCCACTTTGGGATTTCCATCCCATGAATATACTAAAGTCACAGAGACGTAATGTCCATTCTTTCTGACAACGTTATTATCACATCACGGTGCAACATTGTGTCACAACGTAATAACACCGTTGCAAATTGACGTTGAGGAAACGCTATGCAATGGGCTCCTCACAAGTATGATAACAACGGTTTTTACAACTTGGTGTCACGACAGAGTTTTCTGTAAAACCCTTAGGATAGAATTCACTTTCGGATTCGGTCTTCACTATTCATCTGTAGATGCTACCCTTGCAAGCGGAAGGTTGTTATATAAATGACACATGTTAAATTCCAAAAACGAGTACAACATATAAAACTCATTTTAAGCTTGGACGTTTGTTGCCATATCTTTGTGCCATGGACGTCGGTCTGTATACATTCGATCAGACCATGCAGTGACTTGATAGCATACATCAATAGAGTCTGACCACCAGAACCAGTTAGTCACCGTTTACAACAAGCATGGGTCAATGAAGACCAGTCCTTCCCCAGTTCCCCAAGGGGTTCATTCCCAGTGTTATTCACGCCCATCCTCATCACACCAAACCCCGACATAAATGTTTACTGTAAATCCAAAGATTTGCGAAACGATTTGTTTTCAACTACGTTGATTGTACTCTTATCTTCACACGAAAACGTTTCATACTTTTACATCAACTATGCTTAGTAAACATAAATATATTTATTAAGTCATGATAGAGTCATTTAACTTCCCATTGTGAAACACGATGTGCATCAGCCTACAAGGACTCAGAAATTACTCTTTCTCTTTTCTCTGAATATGTACCCAAATAAGAAATTGTTCATGAAAGGTATCCATGTATTTCCTTCAGATGCAGTTAACAAGCTGTCCATGAGATACTCAGAGTAACCAGTGAGTGATTCTCGCCAAGATACACTTACCACCAGCAGTCACAGCTTCTACCAATGCATTTCCATCAGAATCCCCGTAGTCATTTCTAGCGTGCAGTCGGAATATGTAAATCTCCCCTGGTGTAAGCCCGGTGACTTCAACAATCATCATCTCGCCAGGGTCATCATAGAATTTGTACACAGTCCACGTTCTTGTAGCAAACGGAAGATACTCAATTAGAAACGTCTGAGTGCGTCCACCATTGAACCCAGGCAGCCACGACAACCATATTGACGACGTTGTTGCATTATCCAGATCTCTGAACTGTGCAGGTGTCTGTGGTGGCCCTTACAAGAAATACGCATATAAAAACATAATTATTGTAATTGTAATTCCATTTGTTGAAAAGTTCAAATGAAACATGAGGACAATTGTTATGGATATACAACTTATTCTTGCTTGAAAACGACATTAGAATCTATGTCGATCGAAACGTCACCTATACAGAATAAACAAATTGTATATCCACCAAATGTCGTCATGCTTCATCTCCACAACTTCTAGAATGTCAATCAAACAAGTTCAAATGAAGGTAAATGAAAGAAAAAAATAGAAAAAGTTGAATCTGCAAGCTTCAATGGTAAATCTGAAAGCATAACACACCTACAGGCACTACGCTGACTGTGTATGTGACTGGACTCCTCACGCCATTGCCCACTGTCAGACTGTAGTCCCCGAAGTCCTGCTGCTGGAGGTTAGTAAGGAATAGTCTGGCAGTGACTGAGATGTCTGAGGCAGGGCTGGAGGAACCATTGAGGTCCTGGCTGGTGCTGATGGATCTACTCCAGGTGAATGTAGGAAGGGGGTAGGCCAGGACTGACACAGACACAGCCACGTCACCACCCAGTCTAGCAGCGAACTTGAGTTGCTGGGATTCCGAGTCGTCAAGTCGAGGTGAACCTGGTTAAATTCAGAGAATAAAACTAATATTGGCTCAGGAACAACTACTAGCCCGGTCACACAGGAAGGGAAGAACAAATTTACAGCTAGTAATGTGACTGATTCATGAATACATGGCTCGTTTTCATGGATAATAACTTATTTTTATTCTTCGTATTTCTTGCCCCGTCATCCGGTGAGTGACTGAATCAGTAGATCAACTAGCAAATTCATGTACGTACTCGAAAACAATTACATAGGAATTATTCTGCAGGATTGTTTATGATTCTTAAATTCATTTTGTGAGTTTACCAGACAGTTGACGATACTTCTTAGCTACAGACAAAGACATATCTAAAACCATACATGAGTATAATCATAGCACTACCATGCGAGCATTGTATCCAAAGGGATTACTTGTGCCCGCCAATAAAGAGTGTGAAATAATTATGTTTTACTGACAATCACCTGTACCTGTACACATGTAACCACCATTTGCTGAAATACAAATTACTCACATTTGACCAGAAGTTCCACCCTCTGGGTGACAGGTGCCCCGACGTTGTTGGAGGCAGTACAGGAGTAGTTCCCTCCTTGTCTACAGTCTGCTGACTCCAGTCTCTATGTTGCTGTCAGAGAGTTATCTGCCCGTGTCAACTCCTCAGATCCATTTAGTAGCCTGATAAAGGACTTTGGATAACTGTCAGTCTGGCAGCTCAAGATCACTACATCAGACTCGTTAATGGTCACTGAGCCACTGTGAGAGTTGGCGGTAAAAGTGCTTATGTCGGCTGGGTCTGAAAATGAGAACGACTGCATCATTGACATGGTATTGGTTAATACGAAATGGCTAAACATTGAAAGCAGTATGGTACACGGAACACTGACTGCAACACTGTCACCAGAGTAGGCTATAGAGTATATAGTCTACACTAGTGACAGTGTTACAGTCAGTGTTGATGTTCAGGTGTAAGTATATAGTACATACGTACACTGAACATCAACATTGACTGTAAAACTGACACCAGTGTAGACTATATGCTTACACTGAACATCAACACTGACTGTAATGTCACCAGTGTAGACTATATACTTACACTGAACATCAACACTGACTGTAACGCTGTCACTACTCCCGTGTGTATTGTAAGGCTGACATCTGTGGGAGCCTGTCTTGGATCTGTCAGCTTGTCCCTGGAGCACGGCTCCACTGCTGAAGTATGTTCCATTGTGTATCCACCTGTAGTTACATCCGGGTCTACAGAGGGCGGAGCACGTGATTGATGGAAGAGCCTGGTGTTCGGTCAAAGTGTAGGAGGAGGTGGAGGGGGTCAGGGAGATCAGGTAGGGGCCGTCTGGAATAAATGGTCATATGGGACGATTTAAAACAAGACATACATATACGCCATAATTACAACCGTTTGATGGTGTATGGAATCATCTGGATAGAGCATATTCAAAAACTATTTGACTAACTGGTTGTATTAAAACGTGATGTGATTCAGTGATTGGTAACATGTCCTTTTCAAGTCCGTTGAGTCATAGTAAGTAATTAAGATATGATCTTCATACTTCTTGTAGTTGTGTTCATGACTATGAGCTGTGAGACGAAATGAATCAATGAAACAGATTTATAGAATTTGACAATGCGATAACTTGTAAAAGGTAAGATTGGTAGCTTTGACATAATTCTTTCTGTTGTACACGCTTTCCAGTAAAACATTCAGTTGGAAGAGAACAGTATATCAGTAATAGTCTCCCCACATAAAATCACACGCTGTTCATTGTAGAGCCCGAGAGATGATCCACTCATTGGATTATATGGTATGGGTTAGGTGCTAATTATGGTTTTGCGACACTAATGACTTTCACGAATACAGAAAAAATCCTCACTAACTATCAACGTTCGCGACAAAATCCGTTAAAGTAATTAAACTGACGTCTTAAGTCAGAACAGTTACACATGAGGTTTGCTTTGGGTTATAAACACCTATATTCGGATTAAACCCTTTCAACTCTCTCGATTTGACCATCCAGGCAAAATGTCGGCCCTTCACTGGGTGAATAAGTTATTGAGCAAACTAATTAATCACCGATAAAACATGAGAGCAGCAAGCCCACATATCAGTAGTTAATGTCAGTGTTTGGTACACCAATACAGGCGGGCAGTTTTACACTTTTGCTTTATGACTGAGTGTTAAAGTTATCAGTATTGTCCATGTTGTACTCACACTGCGGCTCCATGTAGTACACCTGGCTCCACTCTGATTCCAAACCCTGACTTTCTCTCGCTCTACATCTGTAGCTGTGACTATCCCGGGAACTCACTGTGAAGGTGTACGGGGAACCCGGGGAGGTAACTGTGATGTCAGTGTTGTCACGCTGCCACGTGTAGGTCAAGGTCAGACCATGATCAGATGGGACAGTGGTAGAGGTGGAGCTGCAGGTCAAGGTCACTGGCTGGTTGTAGACAGGTGTTGTTGACACAGGTGGACGACCAGGTGTTGTGGGTTTACCTATCAAAATTCTTCATATGTAAATTTGGGGCGTGTACAAGAGGTTCTTATTATAAAACTAAGAAGTAGCGATATAACGGACGAACACCTGAGTATGATTTGCGAAACGTTCAGAAATATTCCTCCAACATCAAGATGGTGGTGGTAATACGGAATAGGCTTCTCACAGTGAGAGTCGTGACAAAACAATTTGTTCTGTGACGTCGACGATGATGGCTGTTGTGAGTATATTGACAGCTATCAAGTCAACATTATCAGTCGTTTTATACATTCATGTATATGCAAATATGTTCGGCATTATAACTGATACATGTATATTCTAAGTCTATTTCTATATACAGTCCTGCAGGGTGTCTCTATGATGGTGACGTGAACTTATTAGACAGATCTTTGCTGGAGGTTCATTTTCTGAATGGAATTGCTCAGGTACCTCGTGAAATCAAGGGACGCCTCTCGTCCGTGATGCACTCGTAACTTCTTTCTTGTATTAACACATGGTATTACTTTATTGTTTGTCGGTGGTATGTTATAGGTTTGCAAATATTTTATTACACTTCACCTTTAGTGGCATGTGAACAAGGTGAACAAGACTGTTGACGAGACATACGATGGATATTTCAATAATTGAGATCTCAGAAAGATTTTGATAAAGGCATTTCTGTTCAGTAGCCCAGTGTAATTAGGTTAAAACTCTTACCCGTCATATGATCACACATGCCAACAAACGTATCAAATTATCTTTGTTCGCATAGATATTGATATATTTCATTTGAACCACGACTGCCGTCTGGACTGGATATGATATATATCCTGGCATTATCGATCAGCATAATTAAGGATAAATGCTTACAGTTCAGTTAGATGCAACGACAGTCAGTTATATGCGTTTCCTCAGTTTCTTTGATAGAAGTTACGGTGACACCCAACACGTCTTACTAACATACTTATATTTTCTATTTGGATATATCTGTGGGGCAAGACAGGTACAGACTCTTTTCCATCGGCTACTAAACAAGACCTAGTTATAGCCTCTCATGAAGGACAACAAATTGCTATCCACAGTTGTGTATCAACTGCCACACGTGTATGTCCCTGCATCTGAATTAATCCAGAGTTATCTGATATCGAATAACTTCTGTTGAGGTATGCTTATGTATGTCTCATCTGAATGTGTATAGCAGGAATGATAATAATAACTCTTGTTAAGTAACCACTCACCCAGGACAACAAGCTTCTGTCCACAGTTCTGTATCACATCAGTGGTCCCTCCATTCCCACACGTGTATGTCCCTGCATCTGATGTCTGGATGTTGCTGAGGGTGAAGGTGACATTCCTGGCTGCTCTGTTCCCCTGGTACACCAGTCTGTCTCTGTAGCTGGCGGTTAGTTCGACTGACTCATCATCAAATTCTATGAGCACAGTGTCATCAGCAGGACTGACAGTAAAGAATGTAACTCCAGTACCCAGACCTCCCTGTGGAATCTCCCAGCTGAACCTGGCTGTGTCAGACACTGCAGACAACACTGGACTGGCACTGGGTGCACCTGATTGAAACCTGAAGAAAGAAAATATTTAGTTACTTAGAAGGTCTTTCTTGAAGCAGGACCGTACGTCACACCAAGCAGAGAAACACTCTGTTTGACATGTATTTATCTCAAGTATTTAAGGTAGCAAGAATAGTATCCGAAAGAAACAAAAAGAAACACACGTGTGACAGGTACCTGCACTCAGATATAATACTGCAGCACAAATTATCTTCATCATTCCTGTCGTCTGGTACTTCGGTGAGATCTGGAATACAGGTTTGACATTTATCATGGATAATGTTTTAAGTGACAAGGAGAGATGCTTATATGTAAAGGATCACATATCTGGTTGTCTATACTACGCCAGGATGATAGTGGGTGTGTGATCACAGTTGTCAGTGTGTTACATTATGCATAACAGTAGAGACGTGTTCACATCGTATGGATGATTCAGATGAACATATGCGTATTAACGGAGAAGGATTGAAAGTTATGTAGCCTATCCTTTAAACCACATGACAGTATATTGGTGATGTATGATTGCTTCACACTATACACATCATGTCAGCTTGATCTGTCTCGGAACACCTAGTTTCTATACATTTACCACCGAGCATAGTGCTCAAGAAAACAGGAATAGTAACGGTAGTATGTGGTCTTCAAAACCACGACCAATGGATTGATGAGTAAGGTAGCAGAGGTAGTCCAATGACTGTAAATACGACAATCAACCTGACAATATAAACAGTTGTGTACTAAACACTGACATAAAAACATCATCAACAGGACATGTTTCAATATCGTCACCGAATCCTTCGGCGTTTAAGACGCCAAATGAAACGGAATTTCTCGCCCATTGCTATGTACAACATTTCCAATGAGACAAGATGTAGACATATATCAACATCAGCTACTGAAGCAGTGTCATTCTGATGTCCTACGTAGAGTGGACACAAGCTGGGAACTTTGGTAGTGTGGGCCAAGGGACATAACTCTGCATGGTCGTTAGGTTAAAAACAACTCCAGTCCCAACAGTGTCTGATCAGTCACAATACCTGTGATGACAGGTGTTTTAATTAACCAATCACGTACAGATAAGTCATCCATAAGCAACACATTTGCCAGTAGAAGACGGGTCAACGTAGAAGAATGTATATCTGTAACTGCAGAACGTATACGCAACGTATACGAGTATATCGAGACATTGTGGGTTATTCCTATACAATGTCATGAAAAATAAACGTTCAAAGTTGACATGTTCAACATGGTGAAAGCAGTAAACATAGACACATGTTTTGTGATAGAAGTATATACATTGTACATACCTGCTGAGACCTGAGTTATTAACCAGTCATTGTGTGTACCCAGGTAGCTCTACACGGAAGTAATGTGATAGAAGTATTGTGATAGAAGTATATACATTGTACATACCTGCTGAGACCTGAGTTATTAACCAGTCAGTGTGTGTATCCAGGTAGCTCAACACGGAAGTAATGTTATAGAAGTATTGTGATAAAAGTATATACATTGTACATACCTGCTGAGACTTGAGTTATTAACCAGTCGTTGTGTTTGCCGTATTGATATCTTTTTCAACAATGACATGCTTCTTTTAGCTAGAACAAAACCGACTTTTGCACTCGTCATAATGCAGCATAATGTAATTGAATACTGCTCCTTCAGAATTGAAAGAGGTATTTTACGCCTGCTGAGATATATATCTGACTTTATATATTAAAAAGACTTGTTCTTTGCAATAGCACATTACATATGACCTGCATGATTCTTAATCATATAACCACATAGTATATATTATTTGTAATGGTGAAAAGCTTTACAGGCGTGTCGGGTTTGCACGTGAGATAGTACCCACAGTGTAATACAAACACAAAAAGTCAGCGATATAAATCGGTCTTGATCATCTGCAGTGACTAACTATAGTGAAAGACTCGAAGGGACATATTATCATAGTTTTGGCTGAGTATACAATTTAACTGTTGTTTATTTCTTTAATGACATGTGAACATGCACTTACAAATTCTGCTGTTGAATTGTCACGTGTAACGATAATCCTTCTCCAAGTCTGTTTCAATAAATGCAATATCAATTTAAACTGCTTATTGACTGCGCATACCTCTGCTATGACAAGAACTACAACCTGCAAGAATTTAACCCGTTCGTCTTTGAAGAACCCCTCAAACATATACATCCCTTCTTTTACCTGCTGCACCAGATGGAGGCTCGGACGTTTCGGATGGGTGTGCTGTCGCTGTTGGTGGTGTTGCCATTGTGTTGTGTTGGATGTTTGTGCA